AGCGTCCAAAAATTATAAAATCTTCAGATGAAATAAAACTTAACGATAGTGAGCAAGGTCCTTTCGTTGAAAATAACAACGATCAATTCTCGTGACGTAAAATTCGTTGATAAGTACTGGGATGATCTCAACCCTTCTGAAGTCAAGTTTAAAGAAACAGGCGGATGGGCGACTGAAGGTAAGTTAATTAATCATTTGTCGATTTAAATTGTTTTTCATTTGTAAAATTAATTTTCGCCTGTCATGCGAATGCAAACTAGGATTGAGCGATAATGATCAGAGCTTCGATTTTCAAAAAGAACAACTTCTTTTCGGTGGAAAACTCAAGAACGAATTTCCAGAAAACGAAAATCAAAGGTCAATCGTAAAAACTTTACGAGATCATGAATTACCCGATAAATATTTCGTCGATGGTATTTACGTGGGACCACTCGAAGAGCTTCCGCCTTACGGAAAGCTTTGTTATCTGTCCGGCTACTATACTGAACAAGTGGTGAACCACATCACTAACGCGATTAGCATCATCGATTACACTACTGGAATCCCAGTCGGGAGATGGTTCCATAGATCCTTCTCACTAACAAGCTGGATGGGACTTGAGGGTCGTGATGTTCGCGATCAAAGTGTAATCGAGTAGTTGAAGAAGTATTTTTTATTTTTATTTTTGTCACGAACTTTATTTTATTTTAGTTTGTAAAAAGTTAATGTTTAATTTTTTTTTCCTTTTATAATAATTAATTTTCTCGAATGTATGAAATCAAATGAATCAATAAATTTTTTGTTCAAAATTTTCTAAATTCCAAATTTGAAATAATTGTTATTATTATAAAACCAACTTTAATGATGAAATAATAAATGATGCACTCTAAAATGTTTTCTCTTTTTATAAGCAGACGTGGGATTATAATCATAAATACATTGATAAAAATAAGCTTTATAAAATTACAGGTATCAGTAAAAGGTATTGTCTAAGAGTCTCTCAACATTTCATAACAAAAACGTGCTATATTTTTTCTCGTAAATTATTTAAGATTTTAAAATGTCTATAAAATAAATTATAATAAAATGATATTTCACTTAAATGATTCAACACCGATTATATATAGAATGGAAGTGAATGTAATTGCTATATTACAAAAGCTCATCTAACGTATCATCCGAAGGTTGAATTCGCGTCAACAACTTCCTTGATGAATCACTTAGACTACCGTTAAGAAATGCTATAGTCCATATAATAAATAAATATTTATAAAAGTGATAAATTGATATTAAATAACGTTCTCCCCGTACCAGGTTCAAATTATCCAAAGCTTCGTTTGTCACTCAAGACTCATCATATTGTCGTATCATGTGATTGTGAATACTATAAAATGAACGTCAATTGGGAATAGGCATTTTATAAAGACGAAGATGATTATAAACGAATGCGTACCTTCTCTTTACAATGATAATGTACAACAACACCGTTGGGAAAAACAGCAAAAACACTAAAAAAAAAAAAAATATGTGAGCGATATCACAGGATTAACAAAAAATTAATGAGCAAACACCAACCTGTGTCCAATACGACGTGTACATTGTGGACACATCTTATCCTCATCAATTTTAACCCTCCGAGATCGATAAAACATCAATTGTTCTTCAACCTAATTTTTTGTATTCTTATTATAAAATTTTTGCGTAATAGTTATGAACACATAAAGAAATCATACCTGACGCTTATCAGCCAACAATAAATTCTTAACGATCTTATTCGTATTCCTATTCTTATTATTTTCCCTAATATATCTTTCGACAAATTGAGATAATTCCGATACTTTTGTTGTGTGCGGAAGCATGTTCAAAGCCTAAGAAGAGGATACCACAAGGGTAATTAGAATCATGAAAAAATAAAGAACGATATATAGAAAGGGTTTGTATACTTACATCGGAAGCATTAACATATGAACCGTGCCGCGATAATAACCGTATAGCTGGGTCTAGCATTATTTTTTCACCATTACTTGGTCGTAGATATATTTTCAATAGTGATATGAATACATTTTTTGTAGGATCGTCAGTTTCAATGTAATTCTTGATACAATATCTGCGTTTTTTTAAACATTTTTTAAAATATAGATTAGAAATTACTGAAAGATCGTAAGTTTATAAAATATAAAATTCATGTATATCGTACTTCTCTGCCATTTTTTCACTCTTTAACTTGTGTACATAAATGTTTAAAGCTTGATCATGTTGGCCAATACGACTCAGAAGGATTGCGCGGGCTTCATAAAAATCTAAGTGTATGATGATTATTGACCTTAGTTTGAATTCTTTCAACAAATATGACGATAAATATTTATGAAATAGTATACCATCTAAAGGTAATCGTCCTAGTATCTTTTCTGCTTTATAAAAATTTGAATCATCCAAAAATTTTAACAAACTATTATTCGTATCTTCAATCTCCTTCACTAAAGAACCTAGAATCAACGTTAACTTATGTAAATTATTAAAAAGAAACAAAACACACTTTTTTTTTTTAATTACCTATGATCTCTTCAGAATTCGATTTTTGCTTTTGCGATTCTAAATTTTGAATCTTGGCCAGATAAATGAAAACCAATTTATTATGATAATCTGGAGTTCGATCTTTAAGTTCATATATGATATGTTCCAAATATTTTATACACAAATCATACGAAATATCTTCGAGATAATTCAATACTTTATCTCTTGGAAGATTCTCGACCTCCGGATGATCATCAATAAAAATCTATGGATAATTTAATAATGAGTATTGCCTTTTTTTTTTTTAAAAAAAAAAAAAAAGAATAAAAAGAGGGGGGGAAAAAAAACTCACTTCCATCCCTTCATCAGGATTGGTTTGTAATACCCATGTTGCGAATTCTAACAATAAGTCGAAATTTTCTGATCCAAGTCGTTGAAGGTAGTATATAGTATGAAAGGTGCCAGTCATAGGACCTTCTGAAGATTGTCCAAGGCTAAAAAAAGAATAAAAAAAAAGTATTTGCATAAGCAACATTATAATATAATTAAGAATATATTAACTCCATATACCGTAACTAACTTCTTTAAAAGTTCCAGTGATTTTCGATGTAAGCCCTTTCCATGATACAAGTCTTTTAATTCTCTGAATTTCTAAGAATTTAGATATTAAAAATATTATTTACTAGTATACGTATATATAAATTAGAAATAACGTTTTTAATATAGAAACATAATTTCTTATTTATATACCTTACGTTCTAATAACAGACCTTCTACTTCCTCGACATTACAATAATTATTTACACGAAGAAGTGGACCAACCAACGCATCATTGATGACCATATAAGATTTTAAAAGAGTTGTGTCTACCAATTCTGCCAGTTTCAAAAAGTGATCCAAATCACCATTTACTAAATTAGTTTGAAATGATTGGGAGCCTTGGTTATAATTAAGAACTTTAAATAATTTTTGACGACGATCTGTCAAATATTTTATTAATGTTTGAACCGCTTCTTCCAAAAGTTTTCCCTCTGATATTTAAAAGCAAATAAAATTAATATACACCCGAATTACAGAAAAGCAATGATTTCTTTTAAACATTTACCAAGAACTTCCGAATTTTCAGCTTCTATTTCATTTTCTAGAACCTCTTTTTCTTGATCGTCGTTATTTTCAACGAAAGGACCTTGCTCACTATCGTTAAGTTTTATTTCATCTGAAGATTTTATAATTTTTGGACGCT